CCCTTACTTTTATTATATTTATAAAATTCCAATTATAATTTCCTTCGTTTTCTACCCTCTTATTCTTTCTTCCTATTTAAATTTAAATTTCCTAAAAGTAATAATTAGAATTAAATTATGCGTACCGCTATACTCCCTAATATTTAGCCTTAACCCCGGATAATAATTATATATAATTAATTATTCTATTTCTCTTTCTTTATATTATATTACTAAATTTTATTAATTTCCTACGGAGGGTAAATAAATTGAACCTCCAATATTATACTTATATAAAGAAGCGTATAACTTTTAGGTTAATCCTATTTTATAAATCCTAATCGGGATAATAAAAATAAAAATCCCTAACGGTAATAATTTAATTTCTTATTAAAGGCCCGGCCTTGAGGAATTCGAAGAGCGGGGATCCCTATTAATATTCTAATATTCTTTATATTAGGATAGGTCAATAAATAGAATAAATAATTGTAGGATTCTTTAGGTTTTTAAATATTATTATAATTTAATCTCTTTCGGTTTAAAAATTGAAGTCCCTTAAGTTCTATTTCTTATTTATATATATTACCGCCCTTCTATTCTTTAAATAATCGACTTTAAAATACCTCCCGCCTTTAGGATAATAAATATTCTTATTTCAATTTCTACTTAACTCCTAAATCGCTATAACGTTATAAGTCTCCTCTTATTCGAATAGAAGCTTCCCTCTTTTATATATTTTCCCTATATTTTAATAGAATATTTTTAATTAAATTATTAATTACCCTAAAATAGGGTTCCTATAGGTCGTTTAGTAGAGAATAAGGGTATTACTTCCTTTAAGGAAATTACAACTATATAAATATTATTATTACTATATATTTAATTCTTTACGCTTTAGGAATATAAGTATTATATATCTATTAGACCTTATTAGGCTAAGGGTTTTAATCGGGGGGTCGGGCCGACGATTTTTTTTAATCGCCCTCTTTTTATACCTCCTCCAATTTATTTCTCTAAAGTAATAATAATATAAGAATTAAGAGGGGCATTTAATAAATTACCCTTATTTATAATCTCCATTACTAACTCTAATACTTTTTAAACCGAATTTTTATAAGGGGGGGCAAATGCCCGCGGCCTCTCGGTATATATAATAAATACCTTCGTAATAACCTTCCGGATAAGGGGACACTCTTTATAATTATAAATAAAATATCCCTTCTTCCTATACAATTTATGATAAATAAGCGATTTATCTTTATTTAATAAATAATTTATTTTACTAAAATAATCTCCTTTATATTTAATTTTACTATATTAAGCGTAAATATTTTCCTAAAAACAAAATCTCGCTATATATCCGATTTTCTAATATTTAAAGTATTACTAAATATTATTCAAAACTTAAAATAATTTATAAAAGGATACACCACTATCCTAAAGGAAAAGATTATTTTAAAGGAAATTCGCTACTTTCAAAGTAGCAACTTCTATTAGAAGTAAACCTCTATTCTCTCTATCCTTTCTTTTCTAAAATCGAATTCTTATAATAATTACCTCCTTATTCTTATTCTTTACTATATTCATTAATACTTCTAATATAATATAATTATTAATATTATTCTAAAGTACGCCCCGGATTAGTATATTTATAGTACTTATAATAATAAAATCCTCCTTACTAAAGACTTCTATAGCCTATACCTAATTTTACTAATATTAACTATACGTAGATTTATTAAAAATAATTATATAATCTCTAAATATTAGTATCCGAATAGCCGTTCTAATTATTAAACCTAATTTCTTCCGGCCTAAGGTCGTCGCTATAGCCGTCTTCGTATCTTTATTTAAATAATTTATAAACTTAGCGGCAATAATTACTCCCTTAATAGTAAATTACCGTTCGAAATTAGAAGGGATAAGCTTTTTAGTAGTAATAGTAGGTAATTATTAAAGGGTAATACTAATTTTATTCGGGATAATTTTTACTACAATATCGGCCTATTATTTTAGTACCTTCTAAATACCTTTTTTAATTTCCTTTAAAATATCCTTTTTTAAATTATTAAAATCCTTTTTAATAATAAATTAATCGGTTTTAATTTTATTAACCTCGGGTCGTGTAGACCTACTTTTTCCAACGTAAGCCTATATAAATTCGAGAAATCATTTTCGAGCCTAACGTTAATCCTTAATCGAAATAATATTATATTCTATAGATTTATTCGTTCTAGTAATAAACTTCTTTAATATTTTATTATCTTCTTCTATTTTATTTAAAGTCTTCGCAATAAGTACGGCTTTAAGGTCGTTATATACAGAAACTTCTGCGAGCGGGTTATAAACGCTGTTTTTGAGCCTAAAAGCACCGCCATTTATAGCCATCGGCAACGACGATATAACGCTATCGCTGCATTTATCGTAGGACATCGTAAGGGACGTAAACGACCCTCCTGAGTCGATTGCCGTTATCAGTTTTCGTTTTAGAGCACTCCTCGACCAGAAATCGGCGTTTCCGGTTTCGGCGTCGTTTTTTAAGAAAAATATACTATTATTAATTATATTACTAAATATAATTTAAAAGTAGAAAAATAGTCCAAACCTTTTAAAAAAATTATTTAATAGATTGTACTCTATATTACTTCCGACAATTACGTCGTTTCTTTTATTGCAAAAATATTAAATCAATTTATTACTAAGCAAAATTAGTCTGCTTAAGAAATTAATTATCTATTACTTAGCTTACCTTTAGAGTAAAGTACCTAAATTATCATTAATATAGATTACTATAATTTAAATAGATTCCTTAGACTGGGAGTACTTATTAGATAAGGCTAGCAAATCTAGACTCGCACCTAGTACACCAAGTACTTATTTCGCCCCAATAACCTCGAAAATATTAATTACTTTAAGTAGCTTACTCGATGCAATATTATCAATAATTAATATTTTAGAGGCCGGGTTAAGAACAGGGTATTAAACTACTACCCTATTTATAAATTCGAAGACGATAATTAGAATAAAGACTAGTATAGAGTTAAGCTAATATTATATTATCCCTATTATACCTATATTAAATTATTTAATATTATAAACTAGGATAGAGTTCGGGAAGAGTTAGAGACTTATTCTAATACATATTTAATTTATATAAAGGTCTATACTGTCATGGGGCTAGCGCCCTGGATTAAAGACTCGGCTTTGCTAAGTCTACCAAGCCGGGACCGGCCCATATTAATAGAAATGCGAGCCTTCTAGTTAGTCGGATCCATATGTTTGCCTAACCCGTACGGTCTTAGCGCCCTGCTCAAAACCTTCTCTAGACTACACCCTTCTAGTATAGTCTTCCTTTTACTCTCTCTGTTAAATATAGCATTTTAACTATTATACGACTGCTCGCTGTGCAATACTCTGACAGACCCGTTACATATACTAGGAATTTGGATTACCCTCACAATTACTATAGTAGTATACCCGACAGCGAACCTAATAACAATCTCGGACCCCCTACCGAATAGGAAAGGCAGAGAGAACTATAATAAATCTTAATTAGAAATCTTCCTCATTATTAATAAATTGAAAATAACGGCGACTTCGGCATGCTCATTTACTACAATTAAGATATTTTATATAACTGGTATAACCATCTAGGTTATTAAGATTTACTAGAATTACGATACGATTATTAAAAGAATATAAAAGTTAATAACCTACAATTAATAGCTAATATTCCCGCTCTTATATTGCAAACTATCTAGAATCTTAATATAGAATAAAAGGTTATATTTAACTAATTTATTCCTTATTATTAATCTATTTTCAACTATAACAATAGTATTTGATAGCGTCTCTATATCCTACCTTTATTTCTATAGATTAATAGCCGCGGAAGTACTGGGAAGTCTTTTCTTATTAAAGCGTTATTATTCAAATTCGACCAAATAACTACAATATATAATAAGACCTTACCAATTATTAAATATACTCTAATAAAGGTAGTAACTAATAGTATTAATAGCCAAACCTTATATTCTTTATTTAAATTCCCTATTACTCCCAAGAATATTAACCAAAACAATTTGGAAGTAATTATTATAGTACTAGAAAGTATTAATTTAACCTAACCTTAATACTAACTATAGCCGTATCATTATTTTATCGTTAATGAAAAATCTATATTGGGACTTCGAATTCTCAGCTTTATTAATTAAAAACTATATTAAACTTTCCCTAATTGCCAAAACCAATTATTTAATAGTAGAAGTATTTTTCTACTTAATAACTTTTATTACTCATCCCCAGTTAAATAGAAAGCGTTATTTTATAATTAGTAAATCTTACCTACTATTAAGGCTATCGGTCGTATATATTACTATACCTTCAATAAAACTGTTGAATTATAGTTAGTTATACAACAATAGGGTAATAATTAAGCTGGATTTAGGGCAGCGCATAAAGGACTATAAAGCAACCAGCCTATTCAATAATACTGGGAATTACTATATTCTCGAACGCAATTAAAACTACTACTAAATAAGTAAATTAAATTTACTAATACTTTACGTATCTATCCTAAATGTAAAGACATTGCAATTTACAATATTTAATATATAAAAGCTTTAAATTAACCCTATCTTATCCTCCCTACTAAATACGCCGGCCTTAATACTAAAGACGTAAATCCTACTAATATTAACAATCTACAACTCGAACTCCTATTAATAATAAATAGTAGGGTTATACTTACTAAGAACCTTTAAACTAAAATTAATTTAATTAACGGTACTTTAAATACTATTTTTAATATTATATAGAATTCTAATCTTCCTAACCAAAATTATATTAACGAATAATATCCCTATAACAATTTATTTATTATATTCGTTAAATTCAACCAATATATCAGGCCTTCTTACTTCCCTAACTAAAAAGACCAAAATTATTTCCGTAATATTATCCCTATCTTCCAAATTAAGCGAAAATTTAAGTCTTACCAAAATATATAATATACGAAAATACAATTTCCTTTAATTATTATATATACTATTACAATATATAAAGTACAAAGTTCTACCCTTAATATAGTTATATTAAATATTTCAAAGAGGGACTTTCAAATTAAATTTATATATGTAGTATATAATAGAATTAAGATTTTACAAAGCTTTATATTCGACACCCCTTTCGATTTAAGCGCTCTACGTACAATATTTAACCGTATATTTATTATAAAAATAGCTAATAAAATAAGAAGAATACTAAAGAAACTCCCAGTCCCAAATATATAGGCAAATACCAATACTCCAACTACCCGGCATTACTACTTCCGGTCCAGCACTAGCTTACAAATATTATTTAAATAATATATATACTACTTTATAAATATATATATAATTATAATCAACTCTCTAAAGCGTACCTTCCTTTACATTTAATAGCATTTGTACTACTCCTTCCATCTTATTTCTTATATTATTAGGTAATATCTCTTTTCTCTCTCTCTCCGTCTCCCTCTCCCTCTCTCCCTCTCGCATTTAACTTTTTCTATCACTTTCATTAACCATCAACCATCACCCATCAACCATATCAATCATCTTCGAAGATAATAATCTATAATTCGAATAACGTATTAATAATATATTGCAAGAAGAAGAAGAACGCTGCAATTTAATCGCTATTAAACGCTAACGTACTACTACTACTAAAGGTTGGATTAATACCAAAATAGTATTGCCTACCAAAGATGAACTTCTTCGTAAAAAGAAGACTACGGCTACCCCCAGCCTTTTTTATCTTCCCATCCATTCAAAATAGTATATTACCCTTATTATCAACTACAATTCAAATTATTCTAACTCGGGATTTAGGTAGCTGGTTTCACTACCGGCTCAAAACCTCATAAAGTACCAAAATTCAGCAAAAAAAAAAAAAAAAAAAAAAAAAAAAAAAAGGAAGTTCAGCTCGACTTATTCTATATACCCTAATTGAATACCTTATAGTATACCCTTTTTCAAAGCAACCGTCAATGGTACCGAGAGATAGTACGTCTTACGGCGGTCTTACATCTCCTATTCCCCCGGACAACGGACACCCACAACGGACAAGATTGGAAGATAAGGAGGATCTAAGAGACGTTAGCAGTATATATCTGAGCGTTTATACGAAAAACCAATCACTAATAAGGAATTAAACGCACGAACTCTCTAGAACTTATACCAATAGCGGCTACGGACGTCTTACACAAACCGCTATACCACAGGCGTCCCCATAGTACCCCCGGGGGGGGGGGGGGGGGGGGCTAATAATAGTAAATATTATTAGAGTAAACTATATATAGTGATTGGAGGGTTTTGGGCGTATTTGCGAGGTGCAACTGAGTTTATAAATATGATAATAGAAATCCCACGACAAGAGTCAGATCTGGTGATGCTTTGGCTGGTGTTGTGCCCTTGAGTTAGGATTGGGTGCCAAAAACCTTTGCGTACTTCCCGGCTTGGCATTTCTTGGCAGGTGGATCCAAAGCACGCTTCAATATACACCGGGCATTGCTTGAGCAGGATCCAGCATCGCACCGGTGTCTGAAAACTATTTTAGAGTATATTTAGTCGGTTTAAACCTAATACTAGTAGTCCCGGGCAAGAGGTCGCGCAAGTTCGCGCTCGGTCCCGAAGGCTACTAAATATATTAGGAAATTGCGTTCAATTGTATATACGAACCTACAATTAGTGCCCTAAATTATACGGATTACTCTACGGACCTACTATAATTATTTACCCCCGCCCCAATCCTACTACGCCCTACGCTACCCCCTATATTACCCGCCTACGCTACTACCGCCTAATTAGCGCTTAACGTACAGCCTATTCTAATTCCGGTATTCTACCGCTACCCGGCACCCGCACTCCCGGTATTACATTGCACCGCCCGGTATTTCCGCCATCCGTATTTCCGGCGGCCGGTATAGTACGCTAGTAATAGAATACAATATACGTAATATATTGTATAGAATGTATTGCGATAGCAATTATTTATTTATAGAAATATTATAGTCAATTTAAAAGTACGATAAAGTTATTAAATATATTTACGCCGTACGGCGATTATATTTATAGTACCTAACTACCGTAGGTATTATAGTAAATATTATCATCGCTTATTAGAAGTCGACCCCTAGTACTATATTTATATTAGCCGTATCAAAGCTATGAGGAAGAATTTTACTTCTAGTATCTACGAATATACTAGCGAAATTACCTTAATTATTAACGAATACATACACATTAATCATATAAATAAAGATTTTTCTAATATTAGAATATATTACCAAATCGGTTGATAAATAATTTTCGAGAGGTACAAATTAATTATTCGATTCGATAAGGAACTCTAGATTCTTTAATATTAAGTGGGCTAATTTACTCCCATTATTATTAATTACTTTAATAGGGATATTTTAATAACCTTAGTCTACTAATATATAGGGGTACTAAGAAGAAGGAGAAAAAACTATTTAGGAAATACACGATTGAGCCAGAAATCGACTGGAAAAGTGGCCATTTTCTTGTACGTCGTATTCTAAACCAAATCCTCAAAAATAACCCTGATAGTTTCCAAATCGTTTCCGAAATCGAAGGAGCATACAAAAAGTTCAAAATCCATCCCCTCGCATTTACACTACCCATTCGAACCTTCCTAAAAATTAAAGAATTTAGTCCACTACATTCGAAGAATATTAAGACAAAATTAATAACCTAAGTCTTAATATAGTCAACTGCCTAATCCTTACCTTTATTGATAGTTTTAATATATACTATAATATATATAGATCCATTATAGGGGTCTACCAATTACTAATTAGCTTACTATATAATACCCAAGCCCGAAATATTAATATCTTTCCTATTATCCTAAATCTACATATATCGAATTTCAACAATATAATCAAAGCATTAGGGTACTTAATACCATTAAATAAAGGCACAGTTATAATATAAATAGAAGGAAGGCTGATACTAGTATTAATATTCACCTTATATTATACTAGTAGTATATTGTAATAAAATTAAAATACTAGTATAATAGGTATAAATAGTCAAAAGTCTTACCGCTTCTACTTTATTAGTCCGGATTACATTATCAACTAATAGAATATTTTAACTAATTCTATATTCAACCCCGAAATCAAACGGTATTATTACTAATATTTACAAATAAGGCAAAATATCAATATCAACCTTACAACTAAAGGCAATTAAATAAAATATAAAATTCAATAGGGAATTAGCTTAATTCGACCGGCCTTATTTAATTCAACCCCAACATTAGACATTATTTTAATTAGGGTTCCCGATCCAGCACATTCTAAATATAAGAATATTATAGCCGAAACACACGAAATATTATTAGAAGTATTCTTAACAGTAAGAATAAAGACTAAATATAGTCTTACTATTCGAAATAGCCATTTCTATCTAGGTAAACTGCCCTCCCTTCCCTAATTTCGTACTTTAAAAGCTATACCTTAACCGACTATACAAAATAATCTATTATAGCACTTCTATTATTTGCAACCTAATTTTATAAAAACTATATTGAGAAGTATATATAGGAAGTTTGGAAATCTATTATCTAGCCTAATTATGGAGACGGGGATAGGGACGGGGACAGCAATAGCGAAAACGAATAAATAATATATATAGTAGACCTTATATTAGTTAATACATTTACTAAAACACTAGCGGCTATAGCTCAAAGTAATAATATATTATTAAATACTCGAAATATACAATTTATATATAACAATATAGAAGTATATATCTTAGGTCCTAGAAATTAGTACACTAAACTATATAATACAATAATAGAAGCGACTACTAATAATCCGAGGGTAAGAAATAACCTATATAAATTTCGTACTCGGCCAAATTAACCTTTACCTTTACAAATATTATTTCAACGATCTGTAATATCAATTATAAGTATAATAATAAGTAGCCTCAATAAAGTAAATAATAACATAAATAGGAATAATATTATAATTCAAGACGAGGAAAGAGGAATAGTAGCCGAAGCCGCTATAGAGGCGACTACAATACTAAAACAGGCTAAGAAATATATTAAAAAGGTATTACAACCAAATATATATATAAATATATATTATAGTAAGCTTTATTAATAATATAGACTACCTAATTTATTAAATATACTAGCGGAGGAAAAGTATTACAAGTAAATAAAATCTATACTTACCCCTAAATCCAAATCTTAACGCACGCTAAACACAAGCACAACGGCAAAGCAACCTATAATATATACCCTCTAGTACCACACAACACAAGCACACAAAACCAGCGCCAGGATCATACCGATATTATTAATTAATTAACAATTCGATGAACAATTCAAAAAGATAGTAAAAACGATTAATAATAAAGACGTCGACAAATAAATCCTTGAGTAAAAGCGTATTATCTACACTATTCAATTTACCCTACTAAATTTATTCGCTACTAAGGATATAGAATTAACCGACTAAATCAAGCACATTATCCGGAATACCCCTAATCTATTTAACAGCCTATTCTATAAAAACGAATAATAGCCTAATGTAAAAAAAAGGAAGTAAATCGAAGAATCGGAGTTTAATATCCCAAACTCTACCAACAATACGCACATTCGGCCTACTATTATCGGCAAATTAATAAATATACAACGAATTTACCACCTAATTACTAAATTTTACTTACCTCTTTCCGCTATATTAATATCTAATTAATTTCACCGTACCCTATTTAGAGTATACAAATTGGACTATAGTCTACGGATCTTACAATTTACTACTAGTAATTTACAATATAGTAAGAAAATATTATTTACCAATAGGTATATTCCCTATATTTGCCTATGCCTATATCCATACTTATATCTATCTATATCTATCTATACTTATACCTATACTAAAACACCGAACTCTCCGAGCACCAATTACTAAGTAAATACAATGGACTACTAACGGCATTTATAAATAATCTAATATATCATTCTAGGAGCCTAACCGAAGTACTATAAGTATATATTCAATATAACGTACGTATATAGTATATATAGAATTAGTATACATTAATATAATTATATTACTCTATTACCCCCTACGAATGCGCCTAATTATTAATATTACTAAATAATTACCCAAAAATACGCCTAAACTCCTTTTTTCGACCCGAGATCGGGGAATATAATTAACACAGATCAATATCTAGCTCGTATTAATAGCCTTCGACATTATACCTTCGGTATTAATAACTATATTAAAGATTACCGCCCCGGCCCCGGCCCCGGCGCCCCCAGCCTTGGCGACGATAATATCGGCCGTATTGATTATATTTTTATATATAAGTAAAAGAAGTATAATAAACGCCGTATTTCTCTTATACCAACCAGAATCAAGCCTATTGATTATATTAATTATATACCTGAATTATAATTTATTAAAGAGGGTAAGCCTCTAATTATTAGTTTGCTAGCTTTATTTACTAATAGGGTATATATTGTAGATATCTCGAAAGTCCATTAATATAGTTATAGCTATTAACTACAATTAGTCTAAATAAATTAGGATATTATACAAATATAATAGTAGTATATGTTTCGCTAAGCATCCTCCTACCTCCTATAATATACTAATGTTTTCTAATCTAATTCGTTTGAATAATCTTATTAGTATAGGGATTCGTGGTATATTCAAGTTATTATCTATCTTCTACCTTCGGTAGTAGTATATTAATTAATACTAATGCTACGTAGTATCTAGTATTGATAATTAATATAGTAATCCAAATTGTCCATTTAACTACTATAGGTATCTTTAATACTGTAATATCCTAATCGATTAATAGCATTTATATATAAAATTACCCCCAAATAGATTAATAACACAAATATTAAAGCAAGTATTATATACTATCTACAATCTATATACAAAATTACACCTAAAGGAATTAACTATATTCGTAAGTATTATATCTACTACCAATCTATATACAAAATTACCCTTAAGCGCAATAATAATATTCGCAAACCCGTATAATATCGAACTAATCTGTATATAAATTACCCCTAACTCAATTGAATATATTCCTAAGCATTGTATTAAGCGCATTGCTACTATATAAATTCAATCCTCAATTGTACCCGTTATTCAATTGTATTTACGTACAATTAGCGCCGGGAGCCGGGTGTTGGGTATTGGGTGCTGGGCTAGGCCGTACGCTAGTGCCGGGTACAACCGGGTATAGGCGGCAACTAGACTGGACCGTGCGCGGGGTGGACGGCAGGCAGGCAGGCGGGCGGTAGTACTCGTCAGGTCTTCAAAATCGACCGTCTGACTAGTGGCTCGCCCACTAGTCAGACGGTCAATTTTGAAGACCTCACGAGTAGGTAGATCCGTAGATAAATGCACGTTGATCGCGACTTCCGTTCTGTAATATACAGCCATCTGCAGGTGAATGCATCTTCCCAGACCTAGACCAACCAGAATCCAGGATTCCTGCTTCCAAATGCAATTTATTGTATCTAAGCAATTTACTATAACTATTCATTTACTGTACAAAGCTACAGACGATTGATAGACTATAAGTTCATCTGGTATTGTCGCGACTGAAACTTACAGTCTGCAGACGGTAAGTGGATAGTAAGTCGCAGGGGGGGCCCGCAGGTAAGTAGTAGATTTAGGTTATCCAGAATATTTCTATTAAAATAATTAATAATAATAAGCGCAAACTAGTTAGCCCAATATTAAAGAATCTAGAATTCCTCATCGAATCGAATAATTAATTCGTACCTTCCGAAAATTATTTACTAACCAATCTAGTAATATACTCTGATACCTAGAAAATTTTTATTTATATAATTAATATATAAACATTCATTAAGAACCAAAGTAATTTCGCCAGTATATTTATAAACGTCAGAAGTAAAATTTTTACCTACCATTTTAATATAGCTAATATAAATATAATATTATAGGTCGTCTTCTAGCAAGCGACAATAGTTTTTAAGTATATCGGACTCGGACTCATTGTAATAGTAGAAGTAAATAAAGTTTAATAGAAAGATAGCTTTATTATTATTATTGGAATTATTAATAAAATACGTATATTAGCCAAAAGTATTATAAATTAATAATGATTAATACAGCAAATAAAATAATTCTATTGGGTTATTAACAAAATATACTATACCTTTGTACATCGTTGCAACGGTATCCGAATTAAGAAAGGCTTAGAAAAGGGAATATAAATCTATAAAATGTAAGGGTCCCAAGATTGTTGTTGATTAATTGGAGTTATGTTAACTACCCGAATTACCTTTAACTTATTATTTTTTCTAATTGGCTGATTTAGTCTTCATCCTTAGAATTTGCAATAGAACCTTAGCTATACGTATATCGAATAATAATAATTGTTTAGCCGTATAATTCTTCAAAGTTTTTACCTATTTTAGTAGATACTAGATATTGATAATAAATCTACCGTCTTAGCTACGTAATATATCTAAAATTTCAATCTATACTTTATACTACTATTACGAACGCTTATTAATAACAACATATAAACCAAAGGCCAACTGAAAATCCGTCAAATATTTATACTAACTATAATAATAATGAATCAATTCTAAAGTGTCAGAAATAAGGCTACGTACCGTAGTACTTTAAGGAATACCTGCTCCCAATAGTTCTTATCCTTAGTCGGCTTATTCGGCCACCCAATTATTTATAAAATCTTCCTCGAATATACAAATCTCTAATTCTTTATCAAAATTGGATTTATTATATTCAATATAAAAACGTAATTATTCTTCGTTAAATCTAATGGTTTAATATATCATCGGTATTATTTATTATATTCTCAAACCTATATTAGTTATTTATAAGGTCCATACCCTTGTAAATATTATCTTAATCGACAACGCTTATTATAATCAATAATATAGTTAGGCACGTTAGGGGTATATTAAATTTAATTCACCTTCGTTATTACCCTCGTTATTACCCTTGCTGTCACCCTTGTTATCACCCTCGCCATTACCCTCGCCGTTACCCTAATCGTTAATATCCTCCCAATTATTAACATCGTCGTTATATACCACACCTACATCAAATATAACCGTATTATCATCACTATAATTAAATAAAGGGATAGAACCTAGTGATTTTAATTTCAAATATTGAGGTAGGTTAGATTATTATTAATAATATAGATAGATTTTAGGGAAGGGTATATATTTATTAAAGCCGGCTCTAAATAGTATTAGTTTTTGAAAAAAACGTTCTACTCATAATAGGTTATCATTTTTAATTACTTTAATCCTACGTTTAAATATAGTTTGAATTACCTAAATTCAGTAGGGTAGTTAAATATAAATTTAAAAATAATATTCAATAAAGTCTATTATAAAAGAGAAAACCTATTACAAAGGAGAAAACCTATTATAAATGACGAAGTCTATTACAAAGAGGAGAATCTTGTAGAGAGAAAGTCTATTACAAAGGGTAGAGTCTACTAAAAGGGTATATCCAGAGACTAGCTAATATTTACGTCACATACGCTAGAGAGCAAACTATATATAGAAGTCCCGATATCTAATCTAGAAATTTATACTATAGAGCGTCTAATATATATAGGTACTTAATTTATATAAAAATATTTACTAACGCTCTACAATATAAATACTAAATAAGGCTAGTACGTATCAATATATATATGGTTTTAAAGTAGTTACGCTCCACTTTCCCCTACTAAGACTGGGGTTCAAAATATAGATAAACCGGTACTATAGTCAACCGTCTTCTAAACCTACTTATTCAATCCTACACTATATTTATATAAATGCGGCAAACGAAAGTTAATACTATAAACCATTACTATATTCACCTTTTATTATTAAATACCACGCTAGTTTATTTTATCTTTAAAACTATTTATTTATGTAGAAAGTACTAGAAACTATTCCTATATATACCCCGCGCGCTAATAATACTCCGCCGTTCAATCTTATAATACAATCTACTAATTAAATAATACGGCCGGTAGAATATTGAAGATAATTGAATATATAGTACTCCGTTATCTAAACTTTTAATACTATTTACGTCGGATATTATAGATTAGAATAGAGCAAATAACTACCCTACTATTTTTTATTGAAGGCAGTCGAACCGTTGTAATTACATTTATTAATATTAACCTTAATAAGAACTAGTCACTTACGCGCTATATTTTATCCCAATATTCGAAAGGACTAATTGATAAATAAGTAAATATACAAATCCTAACCGGCCATTTCCCCTCTCAAACTTCCTCCTCTTCCAACCTTCCTTCTCTTTCTAAATTTACTCTCTTTTTAAACTCCCTCCTTCCAACCAATAAATTAAAAACTCCTATTTTATTTATCCTTCAATTTAAATTTTACTTCCAATATCCTAAAATTTACAATCACTATTACCGAGTCCCTATTCCACTTTACAAACTATTCCAAACTTCTATTACCGTAAATATTACCCTAATTTAAATATACGCCCGGACTATTTGGTTAATATTATTATTTAAATAGAGGGCTCTATAAAGAGGAAGGGAAAATCGCCTACCTCTATAGTTAATTAATAAATTAAAAGGACCGTCAACTTCGAGGGTTACTAAGATCGTAGTGATAATAACGATGGTTAATATTATTAAAACGATTACGAAGACTATAATTAATAGTAGATTACTAGTAGTACGCCTAGTTCGCCTACTATAAGCCCTACAAAGCCGGCGCAAACGCTTATATATACAATTAGCACCCATTAATAAATTATTAAAGAGTTAACTTGCCGACACGCACCAAAAACTTACAGGCACGCACTTTTGGGATCTGACAGCTGACACGTAAATTATTGCATTTCAACCGTATAAATCGTGATTTTCAATGTCTTAAGGTGGGTCAACTCAGTAAATCCCCAGTAAATGCCCAGTGTAAGCAAATCTAATAGCGCCAATCTGATAGCGCCAATTTAATAGCGCCAATTTGGTAATGCTTTTTATAGAATTAAGGGGTTCAAAACAGCTCTTATTACCTCTACAATATACTCTACTCTAAATACTCACATCTAATAACTTAGGACTCACATTTGGTAGATTATTAGCGAATTTATAGACCTCGTTAAATAACTCAAGTATAGATTGGTACAGTATAATTACATATAGTGTAGTGTAGTATAAAGTGCTGGTGCAAAGTACTGGTGTAAATCGCTGTACTAATCGCTATGCAAATGGCTGTGTGAAAAAGAGTGAAAGAAATGACCAAGTTGGAGGGGATGTTGCGTGCATTTGAAAGACGAAATTTTGCGGGTAAAAACGGGATTTACAATGTCAGGTGTCATCAGCTGGATTGCCCCAGTTTTCTAGTGGGGGTGCGTGCCTATAAGTGTTTGGTGCGTGTCGGCAAGTTAACTCTTATTAAAATATAGGCCTAAATAACATAATACCCTATATTACAATTAATTTTATTATATTACTAATATTCTTAATAGGGCCTACGCAATATTACTTCGCCGGCTAGACTAAGTCCTCGAACTATAGTTAAAGAATTTTGTAAAGGGACTATTTATTTTAAATCTCTTATGACTAATTTAATTAATCCCTTGACTAAGGATTACTAAACGGTAACCAAACGACCTACGCATCCCCAACCCCTAATTATTATACCCAAAGTAGTATTATAAAATTATTATAATTAATATTAATAATACTAATATGAGTAACATTAATAATAATATTATGCTTAATCGAAATACAATACAAAATTAATATATTAAAAAATAACCTAACCCCTATAATATTAATAACCGCTTACTAATAACAATCGTAGTTAGCAACTATCCCCCTTTAATTACGGCCAATACTAATATAAACCGTCCCCCCTTAATTATAATTAATTCTAACTATCCCTCCTTAATTGTAATTAATAACCGCCTACCCCTTTTAATTACGGCCAATACCAACCCTCCTCTCTTAAATATAGTTAATACGAATTACCTATACCCTTCGATTATAGTTAATAACCTTCCTCTATTAAATATAATTAATAATCCTCCTCTATTAGATATAACTAGTACTAACCATCCCCCTTTAATCGTAGTTAATAACCGCCCCCTCCTCCTAATTACCAACCACCCCCTCCTCTTAGTGGTAGTTGTAGTTGTAGTTGCAATTATAGTTGTAATTATAATTGTAGTCAATAACTACCCCCACCCTCCCCCTCCTAACTATTAACCACCACCTTTATTTAGCTATAGTAATAGCCAATTACAAAATAAGGGTCAATGATATAATAATTAGAGTACGTAATATATTCCCTTTAATGAAGAAATTGATAAAGAAACTTAGCAACGATAAGGACGATGCAAATTGAATAAATTGAAAGCTCAATTACAAGATATTAAGGAACGAGCTCAAAATCCAGATCTAAGTTTCGAAGAACGTAATCGGCTATATAATAAAGCCGATCGATTTAATGATAAAATAGAATACCGAAAGAATCTAATCGAACGAACGGTACATAAATTTAAGTGATAGGAGGCTAAGGATACGGCCAAGGCTATAGTTATAGTTAAGTTTGGAGATTCCGAATTTAATAACGAGCTTTCAACCCTAAGGTGGTCTAAGAAAGTAGCGGAAAACTTAGCAAAGAGAATTACAATATTGCAAAAATCGAAAAGGATTACAATTTCACCTTCCTTCTTCGAAAGATTCGACAATACTAAGCCGGGTAGTATAGTACTACCTCCTATCCCCAGTATATCCAACCATACGCCTCCTTCTATCCCTAGCAAATCTATTTTTAGTTATACGCTACCTTCAATCGCTGTAATCCAAAATACTAGTATACATTCAGTATTAGGCATTAAAGGCATTTTTTAAACCGCCCAATTCGATAATAATAAAGAAGACCTTAGCGATATTAGAGCCCCCAATCGTTCTACTACTCCCAATAGTAGTTCTAGTGCTCCTAATTGTTTTATTATTCCTAATAGTTCTACTACTCTTAGTAGTTCTAGCACTCCTAATAGTTCTATTATTCCTAGTAGTTCTAACGCTCCTAATCGTTCTACTATTCCCAATTGTTCTACTACTCCTAATTATTCTATTATTCCTAATAGTTCTAGCGCTCCTAATCGCCAATCCGGTGCTCCTAGTGGTTTTAGCGCTCCCAATCGTTCTACTACTCTTAATCGTTAATCTAGTACTCCTAGTAGCTCTAGCGCTTCTAGTATAATATGTAGATTCCCTAAAGCTACTTGAGAGGAAACTGGTCGTCCCAATCTCGAAGATCCCAAAAATAATACCACTTACCTTAGTAATTTAAACGAGGAAGACTTTAACGAATATAATAGACCTCCTGAGACCCCTAATAATGGGTAAACCTCCGCACACCCACCCAAAACCTACATACACCCAAAAAGGAGGGATGTCAGCTGTCATGTAAAATACGTCGTTTTAGCCGTAAAAACCGTAATTTGTAATGTCTTGCAATATTCTGACCTAGTAAATCCAATATAGCAAATCTCATACAGAAAATCTGACAGCGCCAATCTGGTGATACTTTTATAGTATTGAGGGAGCTGTACTCTACTCTACCTAAATACTAACATCTGACAGCTCAGACAGCTCATTAGAGGAGGCTATTAATAATATCTCAACAACCTCCTTCTCCCTCGCCATCTGGTCTCTCGCCCTCGCCTCCTAATATCTAACCAGCTCGTCATCTTAAATGCGTACAACTAGCCGTAAGAAAAAGAGCGAAAGAAATGACCAAGTTAGAGTCGATGTTGCGTGCATTTGAAAGACGAAAATTTGCGGGTAAAAACGGGATTTACAATGTCAGGTGTCATCAGCTGCACGGTCCCACATTTCCCTAGTTTTTGGGTGTATGTAGGTTTTTGGGTGGGTGTGCGGAGGTTTACCCCTAATAATAACTATAGCGGTATAAGTAATTAAGGTTTTTCAATTCGGCGAAGGTAGAATAGTATTAACCGACTAGAAAATACCTACCCCGAATATTTCCAAAAACTTACCCGTACTAGTCTATAAGCTATTCGAGAGACTAGCAATATACTACTTCGCCTATAATATAATCCTATCGCTAATAATTACCAATATATTGCAAATTCTAGAATTTCTAAGACCCTATTACTAAAAAATATCCCAAGAGGTATTACCGTACCGAAGGATAATGTAACCGTAATTAACAAAATTAATAAAGAAGTCCGATAGATATTATTTCTATTTTATTACAATTAATTTTCTAGAATTATTATTAAGCGGATATACAACTACTAAATTAATACTAAAAAGACTAGGTTCAAAATCCTTTGCAAATATATTTTAAACACCCATCGAATATTGAAGTTACATTATTTAATTATTATTATATAATAACTTTTCCTAAATATCATTACGGATAACCCTTATATCCTTAACTACGATTTGGATACTCCAAATCCAAATCTAGAGTATAAGCGAGCTTTTAAGATATTAATTTCGAATTGGATTAATAAACGTATATTCAATTAGATATGTACCTATATCGCTAAGTACAATAATTACAAAGAAATATTTAATAATAAGCAATCGCTTGCTTAGTTCTATCTAGAAACGGAACTTTAGGATATAGGTCCTATTTAACTTCGGGTTATTAAATCCGAGCGGGCTATAAATGTAAACTATTAACTAAGTAAACTATAGGTTACAAATAAGAATCTCCGTCGGGAAATGCAGTATACATACGAATTTTTACCCTTTATACTTCGATGTAAGGATATTAAACGCAACTAGTTTATTAACGTGCTATTGGAACAAATTACCCCAATTATTAATCCGTCCAGAGCCCTGGACCTAGATTATTTTAACGATACCCTAGTAGATATCGACGAAATGCTTCCTCCACTAAGGACCGACAACTACCCGATAGCCAATTGATAGCGATTTATACCGGTAGAGGAATAATGTAATATTTTTAGTCCAAACTATCCTAATAATAATACAAATAGTAATAGTAGTAGCCGTAGTTACTATAAGGATAGGACTAGTTGTGGTCACTAAGGTGGCTACGTTGACTATCGATATAACTAGTGGTAGGGATATAATTCCTAGGGTGGCTATAATCATAATTATAATAACGATAATTACTATAATAAGCGTAGTCAATATTATAGCGGCTATTCTTCTTAATAAGGCTACTAGGGTAGTAGTATGGGCAGGGGTAGTCCTCCCCAGTATAGTCTCTAGTATTATAGTGCTCCTGAGTATTATAGTTCCCAGTATTATAGTTCCTAGCATTATAGTCCCCAGTATTATAGTCCGTAGCACTATAGTCTATAATATAGTCCCCAATATTATAGGGCTCAGTATAGCGGCCACTAGGGTGGTTATCAATAAGACTATTAAATAGGTATAGGCAGAGGTAATTACAGTTAAAATAACCGTATAAACTATAAATATACTCTAATTCGACTATTTAAGTAAGAACGTTAATGCTAAATCGGTAGCCGCCGCTATAATCCTAGCGGGGCACTTCCCAATCCCCGAAATAGACGTAGATAGCCGCCGCCGTTGCCGCTGCCGCCGTTTACTAGAGGTAATAGTCGAAGTAGCTAATAATTTTTAATGATTATTAGTATTACACAGCCTATTCCTAAGCGCACCCGTATACCTATTATTTTAAGTACTAAAAGTATATATATTTTATCGATAATTAATAAATTAAAAATACTAAACGTCGGTACAAAATCCTTATATCTTTAAATTATATTTAAATACTTTAATACTACATTATTAATCATATTAGACTATTCATATAATTATTACCAATTAATAATGATATTATATTTAATAATACAACATTTAACGACACTCTTAGGCATGCCATCATCGTATTCAGGAACATAGTATTCAACGATACTCTCAGGCATACCTTCATTATTATATTCAGCAATACAGCGATCAATGGCATCTTCAGACATATATGCAATATTGGTGTATTTAGCGGCAGCTATACTAATAGTAGATTCCATAATTATATAGATAGGTAGACTGTTATTTATATTGTATTTTAATATACTGTTTACTTTGATGTGGTGGCATTAATGATAGTAATAGTGATAGTAATAGTAATAGTAATAGTAATAGTAATTGACCGCGCTAGGGCGGTCTTTAATTGGCAAGACCCTCCTATCGCAATTGCCTTTGATATTTGCGACCGTAAGATCCACCCGTATATGCCGCTGACTTTAATTGATTGAAACGGGTAAGAGCCTACGATCATGACTTCCTTTCTGGGCCATTTTACGACTTGGCATGTCGTGGCGCCCTACGGTAAATTGTTCTCCGACAGTAAATTGCGAGCCAACGGTAAAATGATCTTTACAGTCCTGTAACGGTAATGTAATGGTAAAAATCGATTTACAGCTCTGCGACGGTAATGTGATCGTAAATAGGCTTCTATATACCCCTAGCTATGTAGATTCATTTAGTAATATAGTATATTGCCCGTGATTAAAGTAGTACTTTATATAATAACTAGCCTATTTTAATTAGTATAGTATAAGTTCAAGCTGGATCTATTTAATAATAGCCTCCTATTTACCTTCAAATTAATAATAAAAGAGAGACTATACCTTTTTAAAGTCCGATTCAAACGAGGAGTAGATTATGTGCTGCTATAAATAAAAAAGGCTAGTTCTAGTATTAGTAACCCTCTTAGGGACCGGACCTAGCCCAACCTACGTTTTAATAGTAGTCTTAACCTTACTATATATACGGCGTAACCGCTCAATATCATCTTCGTTAAGCGGACTGCGTACCTCTCTTTATTATTAACTAAAAGAGTTAGAGTTACTATTGTAGGAGTCCTCCTTACTAAATTAATCTTTATTATTATTTATATTGTTATTTATAAATATACTATCTCTAGGTACTATAATTTAATTATTTTTAAAGTATTTAATGATGTTGTAATTAATATACTATATACAATGCTAGCGCTAAACGTTAGATAAAAGTCAGTCGATAGTAGAAATAAATTAGGTATTACCGTTAATAATAAGTATAGTAGGGTAAGGTATTTTAAACTCCCTAATAGCCTTATTGAATACTTTAATTAGCTATATAAACCCCTCCTCCCTCTCGTTATTAATAATTCCTTAGAATACTAGTATAAATAATCTCTCTAAAATAATAATTACCCCTTGTATAAGAGGTGTATAATATTGGTTAGTCTTATATATAGTGTTGATAAAAAGGGTGTATAAGAACCGTTCCTAAATAGACTGTTGGGAATTAGTAATCCAAAAGGTATACCGTAGTATAGTGCCCTATTTTCCTTGTTTCTATAACGGTTAAAGTCCTTAGTTTTAAATACTATCGCCCTATCGAGGTCTAGTTTTTTGATAAAGCCTTATATATTAGTGTAACTATCTCGGTCTACTTATTGAAGGGATCACTACTAGTTATCCAAATCTTTAAAAGTTAGATATAGATTAGGATACCGTTATTTAATAATAGTATAGATAGATTGAATAGTTAAATCGCGTTGTAGGAGAAGACTTTTAATATATACTATTTAATTTATAGTAATAGTCTGCAATCGAAAGATGAAGTTGCTATATAATTGCTTTAATAGACTATGACCTTGATAAGTAAGGTTCTACGGCCGTACGGTCTATTTACGACCGTCCCTTGCGAATATTTATAAAGTAATTCGAAATAGGTAGTCTGGTGCGATTTTTTGTAATGTAGTATGTTGTATCTTGTGTGGTTATCAGGGGTAGTTTCTATATTGGGCGTAGTTATACTAGTATATAACCTTCCTATACTCGCCTTTATTGGATCCTTTTTCGTACGTATACGACCGTTGAATTATAATACTAAATTGGTAGCGGCGGTATAGTTTAATAAGTTGTGCGAAGATATTGAAAAAGTCGGGGTCGGGTAGTAACTTAAAGAAGGGATCGTCGATTAGTAAAGCCTACTCTTATTCGTTAGGTAGAATTAATGAGGAGGAGGCGTAATGGTAGCGGTGTAGTTCTTAGTCGTATGAAGGCATCTAAATTGAATATTAGCGTTTGAAAGCGCTTAAAATTAATCATTTTGAGTAAGATTATATATATTAAGTATATTGAATATGAATGGGTGTATGTGTATAGTGCAGATGGGTGTAGTGTGATGGGTATAGTATAGGTATAGTATAGGTGCGATTGGCCGTGTGAAAAAAGGGGAAAAGAAATGACTAAGGTAGAGTGATGTTGCGTGCATTGAAAAGACGAAATTTTGCGGGTAAAAACGGGATTTACAATGTCAGGTGTCATCAGCTGGACCGCCCCATTTTTCTGGGTGGGGGAGGGTGCGGGTAGGAACCGTTGGGGTGCGGGTAGGCTTTCCCATTACTATAGATATTGGGTATATTGTAGGGACAAGACGGTAAACTAATTCCGGCTATTCAACGACTATTAAAGCAGGTTAGAACATTAAAAGGGAGAGTCGAAAAAGGGTTACCTTTATTAAATATACGGGTCACCAATATTCTACTATAAGCAACCAAAATAAAAACCGATTCGGCTAATCGGAAGCGGGAAGAAGCAAAGCATAAATAATAGCAACAATAAGAACAGGAAGTAATAGGCTCCAAATCTACTACAATCGAAGAGCTAAACAATCCAAATATAATCCCGGTACTATTATACTTTATAGACCTGAAGTTATTATTCTAAGCTTTTTTAAACTCTGATGCGGCCGCTAAAATGTATAAAGGTATAGCCTATTTTATTAATAACCTAATAGAATTGCACTATATACTATATTAGTCGAACTTAGTACGTACAACATCTGGCTAATATACGTATTTTTTTAGCAATAATCGAGCTTCAAATTTAGAAGACACAGGCAAAGCCATTTTCCCCTCCGACTTTATATATTTGCACTACTTTAATAATATTAACAATTTAGATTGCCCTTATCGGTTTTTAGAGGACCATCCAAACTATATACTATATATTAACTGTGTGAAAACTATGGACGAGAATTACACTAGCGATTTTATAAATTTTATAAGGGAGGTAATACTTATAGTATAAGAATATTTAACAATCGAGGATATTAATAACGAATTTCCTAGTATTAGCTTTAGCGTATAAATTAATAACGAATCGGATTTTAAGAGCTACGAGTTAATATTTTACTTAGAATAGGAATATTAGATTCCTCGATACCTTACCGATAGCTTTATACCGGTATAAGTGGATTATTTTAATGGCGATACATTATATAATCCAAGTCCACCAATTGATACCTCGAACTAAACAACGAAGAAAAAGAAACCTAAAAGGCTTTTTCGAAAGTATAGTACTATACCCGACAATCCGAGAAAAGGGGGTACTATTTAATTAGGCGGGCCTTATAAAAGAGTTGGGTACTAAAAAATACTATGGTCCGAGAAGTAGGGCCCGATAATAATAATAATACTAACCTTCCCGATAGGAAGATTATTACTCTAGTATTAATACTACGCCTTAAGGCCTAGTCTAAACTTGAAATATATAGTTAGAGAATCTTCGAGCAGTATTAGGATAGAATTAATAACCCTGCATTGGATATATTGAACTTCCAATCATTACTTTTATTAACGGCTTTAGTATATATCGCAACGCTCGTCGGTCGGTTATAGGAATGTATTGATCGCTAGCTGCCTTACCTTTAGGAGATCGATCTCGGAATACCAATATTTTCCTAATTGTCCTTAGACTATACGCTTCTAATTTCGAGGCTGTTATTAATATAATAAGTTATCTGATGCCGCTAGATTAGGGCATTATGATGGATATTAAAGGCAAGCCAACAGTCGTATCAATATTTACTATATATTATACTAGCGATATGCCTCAATAAGATAAGAATTCGGGCACTATTGGGTCTATAGGCCTAAAATTCTATTATTCTTAATTTATGAAACTAGACTATATCATTAATAAATAAAACGCTATTGAAGACTAGACATTAGACATTAACCGCTTTCACTATTAATACCTCTAAATAAAATTCAAAGTCAATTACAATATCCGGAAAAAGGGGGATAAAAAGGCAGACCAACCCTAATAGAGTATTAACAAAACGCAGCTAGCCTTATTTAACCTAATACAGGCATTAAATACCATTATAACCTGGCTACCCAATCCTACTCATTCGGAATTCAAAAATATATCAACACATATTCATAAAATACTGATAAACACATTTCTAACACTCACATCTCGCCTACAATACTATAATATATTACAGCATTAGCCGTTTCCCCCTAGTTAGAGTACTCTACCATCACCAAAGTACTACCTTAAGAGCTACGAATTATCTACCTATAGCAAATAGTCTATCATTACATCTCTTCTC